AGTTTTCCAGTTTCTCGTCCGTATCTTTTTTTTTATTAGCCATGTTTATTGGACCAATATCATCAGCCCAATACATTCCTATCCACATGTTACAATGATCTAACAGCTGCCAATGTTTCTAATGTGAAGGGAAACGCAAGGATCTCGATAAATTTTTAATGATGCGATGGGCAATAAACGCCGAACATCGAGTTGTCATGGAATATTATCCGAACACTGTTGAGACACACATGTTCGGAATTTACTAATTAATGTAAGTTGCATTATAAGGAATTTACGATTCTAACAATAGTAATGTTGTGTGTAAATTCATTACAAAGTTCATGAGACAATCATGAGAAATGTGAATAAAAACACAAGCGCACTTGTTTACGAGGTAATATTGATCTTTTTGGAGAATGTTTTCAATAATGCTCCATAGAGCGCATGCAAACACACTAATTTAACCAGGAATTATCAATATGAATGTACTAAGTATCATCAAATAAACATATACTCATTTAGCTTAATTTCTACATGCGATAACTTAATTTTGATATACAATACTTGTTCTTTCTTAAACAAATAATGTTGTAAGATCCAAGATTAATAAATTGATTTTCTCGTAGGTTAGAAATGATACGTTATACTTCAGCTATTCGTAATAGAAAATTTATAGAATACACCAAAAAAGAATTAGAAAAAGTGCAAAAATCTTGTCGGAAATGTGATAGACAATTTCCCACAGGATATTGAAACAATATTTGTCTCTCACCTTTCCGAAACTTTCAAAAACCAATTACTATAAGTATATTGAAGTGTTGAAATAGGCAAAAATATTCCAAAGACGAGTTCTTTTTCCATTTCAATCTCATCAGTTATTCTTTTGTCAGCTGTGCTCAGGGACTGTAGTTTTAGTTTCTTTTATGTCACCTTCTCTAGAGACATTGTTTGCATTATATCCTCGCTTGTGACCCTTACCATCACTTACATTCGGAGACTGTTTTAAGGGGATTCAATAACACTTCTAATCACAGAAAGAAATGTGATGGATCGGGAAATTTAAAATTTTCACAACTTGACACGAATCTGTGACACCAAGTAATAACATTACAAAGCAACAACTCAAATTTGATTTCAAAATTATCACTTTAAAGTCTAATGAAACATCTTACAACCTTTGATTTCTACAGAGCTCAAGATTTGAATTACAGATTTTACAATTCGCAGAGGGACATTCGGTGTAGCGCTTTTAGTCTAATTGCGTGACTTATCCTGAAGTTGACTTCTTTTGAAGAAAGGTTCGGGAGCGACAGACCCGCCATAAGACTGCCTGCTAATCAAATACAACTGCAGATGATGTTTTACTCTCTTGAAAATCAATAGCGCGGCATTGGCACTGTATCTGTTCCACAGGAGCTACCTTCTTCTCGTGCAATGGGACAAATCTATAGAATCAACCACCTCCAAGGTAAACACATGTCTTCCTTTATTGTTTATCTCTCATTTCAGTTTTTTTTCTATTGTTCAATCTGCTTCATAACACTTCTGAATTAAATGGATATTTTTCTTGGAAAGCATATAAAATTAGATTTGTGAACATGGGCCTGATTTCACTGCAATATTGATATTATAATTATTCTATTATTAATGACTTAGGATTATTGAACTTCTATGAGCTGTTTTGCTGAATGTCGTAGAGGCATGTCTTGGATTTCACTGTTCGTATATATTTCATTGCTGAAGAGAATGGAAGCATGTCATCAATGAGGATAAAGTCGACATTTGATCTTTAAAGGATATCACACCTCTTAGAGAATGGAGGCCTAACTGGACCATAGTGACTCCGTAGATCGCTAGAGTTGTGTATTGAACTGTAAACAGGATATATAGTCAATAAATATATATATACTCCGTATGAAAGATGAGAATAATGAAACTCACGGAATATTCTACTCACAACGGACGGCAGATTCCACTGTGTTGAAGAGGCGCCATTTCCACTGGGAGAATCTCCAAAAACAACGGTCTGGCACGTGATACAGATCGCACTAATAAAAGAATGGGCCTCTTTTTCGCCAAATAGAGTAGAAATGGCATCACGTCACAATATGGTCGTCTGCTGTTGGAGTCGTGTCCGTAGCTGCGGATCAAAGTTATTCCCGGCTTATATTCTTTAAGGACACTTGGACCAGACTTACATTTTTTCAATCCACCGTGTCATTTAATTAATGTGGGACATCGGCTATGCAGGATGAGACAACTCAGGCCAATATTTTGAACGAACTTGGTGCCACCCCGATCCGGAAAAATGGACATATTTCGGGGGACAATGAACGGATTATTCTCAATGTGGGGGGTGTCCGGCATGAGACCCACGTGTCTACTCTACGGACTGTCGCCAACACACGGCTAGCCAGACTGGCTGAGAGACATTTAATGTTAGATCATAAACGTGAGGAGTACTTCTTTGACAGACATCCCTCCGTCTTTAACTCTGTGATAGATTTCTATAGAACGGGTAAGTTGATATTTTCCTATCTTTGTCAAATTTGGTTTTAGGTTCGACAAAGAAATGGTCGATGCCTCTGTTTTTCTTTCTATTTTTTTTTTTCATATGATTGTTAGCGATTAATAAGTTTGCTCTCTCTCTTCGATATGAATTTGTTTATAGTTTACACTTATGTACTGCATGGTGTTTATTCGTTAATGTGAATGAAAAATAAATCCTGCAACTACTTTATGGAACATTTCGGAAATACAGTAGGAGAGGTGTGGTTGCTGCAAAATGTGCTACTACCTTAATTCTTGACGATCTATTCGGATAGTATTGCGTGTTGATTGGCGGTAAGTTATATGCACATAGGGGACGCTAATACTGTTATACCATGGTAACGTGGGGGCTCATGCTTCCTCGGGACCCTTGTTTTATCAATATGAATGTCATTTGATAACAGTGCAGTTCAAAGGCCTATCATAAAAATGGCTTGATATGAACATTATGTCTTCGTGTAGATAAAATATTAAAAAGTAATGTTTTGCGCAAAACTTCTTAGCTTGCGTTCTACTTACAAAATTGAAATTGCATTAACGAAACAATAAATTTTGATTAAATTCCTCTATCATTATCCGTCACGGTATTTTTTTTTTCGTATAGCTTGTGTCAAGAGCATTAATTTATAAAATGTATTTCATCTAAGGATGTAGTATACCAAATAAATACCTATTTATCTACAGGTAATCAGAACTTTTGCATAAAATCTTTCTAATTATGTTAATGGACATTTTTGGAAATTAAAAAAAATACTCGCGTTTATTATGGAGGAGCTAGAGTACATGTAGAACAACGTTTTGCTATTTGTAAACATTTAGGAGATCTATGAAATAAGACTAATTCATGGTTTAATAGGCACCTAGATTTGCTTACATCTAAACTAAACTCTAAGCTGGTAAACAGAAGGATATATATTGGTTTTGGCATGGTAAATATATGATTTTCTCGGTAGTACTATTATGTAGATCGTGTCTGGGTCAAAACTCGCGAACCTCTGACTGGAATCAATTCAACCCTAAATACTATGATAAATCTAATAAGTTGTTGCTTATGTCACACGTTTGCTCTGATTTTGAATTGACGTCATATCTTTAAGGTCAGAATATCTTGACTGTAGATTCATATTTTAGAGTGTTGTTGCAGGTAAACTCTAAAAAGGGGTTTCAGGATATTCAATCAAGGTCAATCATCAAAAGTCAAGGTCAATAATAAGCAATGAAATCATTGAAATGGAGCGGGTCATCAATTGGACTCTAGATTAGAATGCATGCAGCCTTTTGTTGTAGCTGATGATCTGAAGGTCCGTTGTCTCAATGACATATCTCAAAAGTCAAGGTTAAGTACTTAGCAATGAGACATTGAATTCGTTCCTGGGCTATAGATTTGGATCATGGATTCGAATACATTCAAATGTCAGTATGTTGTCTCGGATGACTTGAAGATGTGTCATGATCTTGACTCAAGGTCACAGGTCAGTGAGGTATTGAATTATGAATAGTGGGTTAAAATGCATTCAGTGTTTTATATGTTGTTATTACATTGTATTTGTTTATATACTGAGTTGAGGGCACTTTACAAATAGAAATTTCAAACGTTGTATAAGATGACAGGAATAAAAATGAGAAGGGGGGGGGGGGCATTCGTTTTGTCCAAAATATAGTAATATTTGTTTTTAAAATGATTAAATTATATATAGTAAATGTAATACAGTGATAACGAGGATGGGGCTACAGACATTTGTTTTGTGCAAAAATACGTTGAAATTTGGTTAAGGACAGAAGGTCAAGGTCAAATAGTAAAAAGTCAACAACAAAAAAGGAAAAAAAACTAGTGAAAGAAAGGAAAAGATAACAAATTATTTAAAACAAGTTACAATGTACCTTACCGTAATTTTGTCATCTTTTCGAAAGCAGATATGCAAATAAAAAAAAGATAAATTAGAGGATATTCAATATTTTACCGTTGATATGGGGTTTATTCGCGGGTGGTACGGGATTTTTATATATATTTATATATTTTCACTAGTGCGAACACACGAGTGAAATTGTTTTCATAAAATCCTGTTTTATGAGTGAAATAAATTCCATATCAAACTATAAATCATTAAATTTTCTGATAGTACATTTTCTTTGATTTTCCTTTTGCTTTGTCTCTTTTTGTAACACAGTATTTTATGCTGTGGCGTCTTAGTCGAGTTTGTAAGACGTTTACAAGGGATTGTGAGGCCACTCATGAATCGTTTGGGGTTCCAATCAAACTGTTGTATTTTCTAAAGAATAAAGCATTTCATGCCTTCAACCCCTTTAATCAGCAATCCAGTTCCCAGTGCGAATAGGTCAAAATAATTATCGCAGTTTCATAATGCTTACCAAAATGAACGCCCAAAATAAACTTATAAATACTTAAAATTTATACATAATTTACAATAAACCATTTTCTACAAAATGAAAAGAAAGATTGTGTGATGCGTGTTTATTTCTTATAGACATTTACATGTATATATGACACCTCAGAGTAAACTGGCGAATACAGAAGTGGAACTATATATATATATATACTATATATAAAATCCATGCAAAATCTTTGTGCGATTTGTGCATGATATCCTAGGTAGATTGAACTTATTAAACCAATTGCTAAGTGTCTGGCTAAAAGTCGTACCAGACGACTAGAAATGAAGGAATCCTAAATTTATAAAACGGTTCTCACTATTTGTTTTTTGAAATGATCGATTCAAAATCAAGTTTGACTTTTTGCGCTTGTTTCGAACACTTGTTTTGTGCCGAGAATCCGCTTAAGTCATCAATGATTGATGAGGTGCGCCTTTTGTAATGGTGCAAGCATTAACAGACCCAGTCAGATTATACTTGTTAATGATTTTTTTTTTCATTCTTAAAATTAAAACACTGGGTAATATGACAATTTTCTTCTACAGGGAAAACTGTTTTTAGAGTAAATCTTTCATAGAATTATAATAATTTTTTTCTATGTGATATATACGAAAGATATGATACATGAAAACATTTATTGTGACACTTTCGTGTTATTTTATCAATACTTTATCCATGTTGAAAGCGTTAGCAATCATAATATGAAAATGTTTATTTCAAAAAAACATAACTGGTTTATCAAACAGAATTTACAGGACATTGTTAACGTTTTCTGAAATCTAAGAGGTCATCCACAAAAATATTTAAGTCATTTATTATCAGACATCGGATTTCTGACCTTAAGCGATCTAAGAAGACAGTACCAACAATAAATAATGTGGGTACATGTATACACGCCCATGCCTTCAAATGCGAATGTTTTTAATTCAAAACACGTGAATGATCATACACAAGCCCGTAGGAAGCAAATTCAGTTGGGGGGGGGGGGAGCACAGCCATACATTTTCATTTGACAGTTGAGGGGGCACTACCAAAAATTTCCTGACAAGAAAAAAAAAGGTCATCACACATTATTGAGGGGGCACAAGCATCTACTATCCATGTTTACTATAGTAATCTAAATATCGGCAAAATTATTGGGGGGCACGGCCCCCCGTGCCCCCCCCCCGGTTCCTACGGCCATGATACATATATAAACATGTAAACTACGAGTGCAGAATTTGTCAGAAAAGAAAGTTCTATACACTGCAAATTAACGAACTAATGTGATAACATAACTACTGATTGAGAAGTTTGTATTAGTGTTAATTCTAAAGGGAGATTGAGTTACACCCAATCAACTGATATTGTATAGTGTTAAAAAATGAAGCGAAATATAGCTGTATTCTGTTTATCATGTCTCCATGCGCCACTCTGTACAGTACTACTTCTCAGCTTACTTCCGTGGATAGTTTACTGATCCATTGACACTCTCGTAATAATCTCGCAGTAGTCTCGTCGTAGTTACTGAGAACTTCTCGGGCATTATTATTTGCTGAACACCGAAAAATAAAAGGTTCCGAACACTTTTGTAGGGTTAAAACAGAAACGTAGGGATTTTTATTGACAGTTTGAGTACTTCTTGTCATATCTGGTCTGGGTGATGCCATTGAGGAATTCTTTTGTACCAGATTCATCCGCATCAGATCTTCTCGCAGACATTGATCACTAATGAAGGTCTCCCGTGGACTTCAATGCAGTGTTTACACTTCTTATCGCTTTATTCTTTTAACTGCACAATGGTTGTCTATTGAGGCGATGTAGGGGAATTCACGGGTAGATGGTCTAATTGAGAGTAATATTCTTTCCATATTGACACTTTTTTAATGACAGGAAGCTTATATTACAAGGAATTATAAATTAAATTGAATTACAGTCGCTGAATCGTGATGTTGGGCGAGTTCTACTAATATAATGTGAGTAATAGACACCGCAGCGCCATTTTATTCTGCGTCTTTACTCTTCAAATAGGACCTGTTTCTTTCTCTTTGAAAAGATTGCTTCTGTGCACATCAATAAATAAACAATGAAGGGTGTATAATTAGACCAATTTCTTACAATCATCAAGTATATCAGAGGGGAAAAATGTACAGCTTCGCTTTTAATGAATGTTTATTGGTCGAACCAGAGACAAAAATTATATCTCTGTCCTTACCATAAATAAGAATCAATTACAAATTAGAGCATCCTTATAAATGTACATCTATTGACCAATCATTCAATAATATTACAAATTGGAATCCCAGATTGGTGCATTGCAGGAAATTGGACAGTTTAACATTACGACATTGGTTGCAATTTATGTTTGAAATGGCAGTTGGAGAGGTCTGCAAATTATATGATTACAAACGATCATAGATATTGGCAATACCACTGAAACAAGGGTAAAACCATTCAACAACCTGCCATGGCCTCGTCTCTGTGTTTATATAGGTCTAGGTTCACTAAAGGTTACATGCGGTCGACTTTCTAAACCAAACTCGGCATATGAAATAGGACCGGGTTGCTGATCCCTTCATTGATAGGACGTCTGTACTT